TAGAGGACTGAATGATTTGAAGCAACTTCTTTATTCTCTTGTTTCTAGGTTAAAAGGTGTTCTGTGTTCAATGATGAAACTTATTCATTCATTTATTTAGCCAACTTTTCATCTAAAATTTATTCAAGGAAGAGTCACTTCAAATTTACTTTATTTGAAAGAAAAATGCCAAATGCTCACCCTTCAAGATTTTATTTTGTACCTTAGTTTGGCATAAGCAGATAAATTCTCAGTGTCACCACGGCTGAGTTTCCCTGCTATTTTTATTTTCTACTGACAGAATATTCAAAGCTGACAAATGTTGTAGAAAGGACTTAGTTATTAAAACCTTCAATTTACAGCAAATAGTGACAGTTTCTTTTGCTCCTCATAAAGGAAAATCGAAGAGGTGTAAATACACAAGGCCAGGTAAAACAAACATACTTTGCATACTTTTGAAAACAGTTCTAATAAGTAGTGCTCATGTGAAATATTACTCTAAAGGTACTAGTTTGGGTGTTGATTCAAAGAATAAAAATAGAATTATGGCTGACAACGCTCAATAGTACTTTAAAAGCTTGACTTATGGATAGTTTTTATATCTAATGAAGTCTTTAAAAAATAACAAATAACTGACAAAATACAAGACATAGTTTAAACTAATGTAATATTATGTGTCTGCTAGGAGGAAAACAAAATACAGTAAATAAATATTTATTTCTACTTCAAAGAGATGGCTGGGTGGTATTTAGTTAAATTTCCTAAATATCCCAAAATGGACATTTACTCAGACTTCTACATTTTACTTAATTTGCGGGAGGAGAGAGCCCATTTATGTACACAAAGGCTACGTAAATTCCGAGTAGTGCAGGGGTGACATAATTTAAGAAAAATTTCAGAGACAACACTAAAATGTTTCTTATTGGAAAGGATCTTTACATGACCTCTTTGGAGGCTAACAGTTGTGCTAAACTGTAAAATATATTGCCAGCTCCACCTGGAAATGAGGAAAAGGAATGTTAGAAAGACAAAAAAAAAAAAAAAAAAAAAAAAAAAAACCTGGAAAATTCACATAGAAAAGGAAAGCAAGCTTTTTCCTCTTGAAGAAGCATGTCATCAATTAAAGGAGCCCAATTCGGAAAGACTGCTCTGAAGCTACAGGAAGGGTGCTGGTAACAGGAGAGGTGATTCACCTGCCCCCAAGGCAGAAAAACCAAGTCAGAATCTGGAGGAATGAGCCATTCTTAAGTGGAGAAGAACATTCCCCAGACTTTCTGGGACGATCAGACTGTTCTGCATCTCAACTGGTATATTGGTTACACACATTTGTCAAAACTCAGGGAACTATATATACACATACACACACACACACACACACACACACACACACACACACACACTTATGGTCTGTGCATATGTATGTAAATTATACTTCAATTAAAAAAGAACTCATAAACATACCAAATGTACAAGTTTATTTTAATGTATTAGATGCAAAATTAAAAATCTTACTTTTCTTTTTTTTTTTTCCCAGGGGACAGGGTCTCACTCTGTCGCCCAGGCTGGAGGGCAGTGGTGTGATCATGGCTCACTGCAGCCTCCACCTCCTAGGCAGTAATTATCCTCCCACCTCAGCCTCCCAAGAGGCTGGGACTACAGGTACACCACCATGCCCAGCTAATTTTTGTATATTTTTTAAGAGATGGGGTCCCACTATGTTGCCCAGGCTGACTTGAAACTATTGAGTTCAAGTGACTGGCTTGCCTCAGCCTCCCAAAGTGCTGAGATTACAGGTGTGAGCCACCACACCTGGCCTAATTAATTTTTACTACATCTTTCTTTACATAGAGAACAGGAAAATGTAAAAGAGAGAGCTAAAAAAAATTTAGGAAAAAAAAAATACAAGCAGAGCAGACCACTACACTCTAAACTCTGCAACACCACTGGAAAAGAATCATCTTTCCAAAGGTTCTAACAGTGCTCATGAGGCAAGCGAAGAAAGGGAAGAAGTAGGCTTCAGATCTGTGTAACTCTGACATATGTTTCCTACTTTTAATAAACAAGTTTCTGTGTTACAACAGACTATTAACAGTATCTCCTTTTTAAAGTTGATGAAATATACAGAATAGTTCAGTGGCATCCCTAAGGATACGCAATTAGGAAAAAGCTAGGATACAAATAGATCTCTAAAACTCCTACACATAATTCTTCTCGCAAAACAATACTCTGTTGTGTGTGCACACAGGGTAAAAATAACAACCACTGTAAGTTTCACATGGTAGTAACACGGCTTTCCCTCCTCGCCCACACAGGATGGATGAGTATGAATGTGCCAGGATGTGCTTTAACTAAGAGCATGAACTGAAACAATCAAGAATTTTTTTTTCTTAAATATTCATTCACTCCTTGGTTTAAAATTCTGCAACAAGTAGAGGCGGCTGTGGTGGCTCACGCCTATAATCCCCGAACTCTGGGAGGCTGAGGTGGGTGGATCACAATGTCGGGAGATCGAGACCATCCTGGTTAACATGGTGAAACACTGTCTCTACTAAAAATACATAAATTAGCTGGGCATGGTGGTACAGGTTTATAATCCCAGCTACTCGGGAGGCTGAGGCAGGAGAATCACTTGAAACTCAGGAGACGGAGGCTGCAATGAGCAGAGATTGTACCACGGCACTCTAGCCTGGGTGACAGAGTGAGACTCTGTATTAAAAAAAAAAAAAAAATTCTGCAACAAGTAATACTTGTGCCTGAAAATATATGTAAGTTAAATACTTAGGGCTAAAAGGGGTCTTTGGCTACAAACACTGAGTATCATTTTTTTATTTCAGTATGCAATTTGTATTATAATTTGCCTTAAGCCAGCTGTACTAGATTTCAGAAGAACAGAAAGAAGACAATATTGGGTAAGAGCATACTTCCTGTGCATTAATAAGTGGAATATGCTTTCTAAAAATCTTATGAAAATTGGGGAGGACGAAGATTGAACTCTCAAAGGAATTTCACAGAAGTTCACTGATGTCCAACGAGACACCAGAGCTAACCCTTAGATCCGTAAACACACAAGCAAAGGTTTTGCATTAATAATGCCTGTCTCTCCAAACACCCCCAAGTAACCCCAAGTGCCTACAGTAAGAGGGTAAGTATGACTTTTTTTTTTTTTTTTTTTTTTAAGATGGAGTTTTGCTCTTGTTGCCCAGGCTGGAGTGCAAAGGGGCCATCTTGGCTCACTGCAACTTCCGCCTCCTGTGTTCTAGCAATTCTCTTGCCTCAGCCTCCTCAGTAGCTGGGATTACAGGTGCGTGCCAACATGCTCATCTAATTTGTGTATTTTTAGTAGAAATGGGGTTTCACCATGTTGGCCAGGCTGGTCTCGAACTCCTGACCTCAGGTGATCTGCCCACCTCAGCCTCCCAAAGTGCTGGGATTACAGGTGTGAGCCACTGCGCCCAGCCAGTGTGACCTTGAAACACAATCGGTATGTCATATTTGGTTTGTTGCTTACACCCAAATTTGTAGGAAAAAAAAGGGAGGGGGAATCATTGGCCAGGTGCAGTGGCTCATGCCTGTAATCCCAGCACATTGGGAGGCTGAGGTGGGTGGATCATTTGAGGTCAGGAGTTCATGACCAGCCTGACCAACATGGTGAAACCCTGTCTCTACTAAAATACAAAAATTAGCTGGGCGTGGTGGTGCACACCTGTAATCCCAGCTACTCCAGAGGCAGAGGCATGAGAATTGCTTGAACCAGGGAGGTGGAGGTTGCAGTGAGCAAGACTGTACCACTGAACTCCAGTCTGGGCGACAGAGTGAGACTTCATCTCAGAAGAAAAAAATGAAAAAGGAAATTGTTTAGTTTGAATTTAAGAATCACAACCTTTGATGCAGCCCAAGTGCACCTTTTCCTTTCTAAATAGAGAAATGGGCCTAGCACAGTGGCTCATGCCTGTAATCTGAGCACTCTGGGAGGCAGAGGTGGGAGGATCACTTGAGGCCAGGAGTTTGAGACCAGCCTAGGCAACACAGCGAGACCTTACTTCTACAAAAATTTTTTTTTAAAAAAACAGGTTGGTGTGGTGGCTTGCACCTGTAGCCCTAGCTAGCTACTCAGGAGGCTGAGGCGGGAGGATCACTTGAGCCCAGGAATTTGAGGCTGCAGTGAGCCATGATTGTATCTTGGGTGCTAGGGAAACAGAGCAAGACTCTGTCCCTTATTAAAAAAAAAAAAAAAAAGAGAGAGAGAAGAGAGAAACACATTCTGTATAATTCAATAAAATAAGTGAAATGCAATCTAATAATTAGTCAATGGATATTTAAAAATACCACCTGCTTCAATTCAATTGTGACAATCCTTACAGTTTTCTCTCAAAAGAAATTTGCATCTTCTTCTGCAATGAGAAATGGATAAAGGCAAAACCTCTGCTAATATTTAACAACAATTAAATAAAGTCAAAGACAAAAGAGTAACGCTTAAGAGCATGGGCTTGGGACTTAGGCTCTAGGTCAAAGCTGGGCTCTGTCACATAGTAGTTACACATCTGAGGGCAAAGAACTTCATCAGATCCTCAGTTTGCTGACCTACAAAGTAGGGATGATTATGTTTTTTGCCTACCTGAAAACTTGTATAAAGGGCTTAGTAGAGTACGTGGTATACAATAGCTCTTTGATAATGATGTATTATATATAATTTGCATATATATGCAGTAATATAACTGCTCATTACATAATGTAATTAACATTCATGATTGTATAATTGTTAATTATATATGCATTTAAAGCATATACACGCATACCTTGTTTTATCACGCTTTGGAGATACTGAAAGTTTGTGGCAACGCTATGTCAAGCAAGCTTTTGGCTGCCATTTTTCCAACAGTATGTGTTTACTTTGTATCTCTAGTAATGTCAGCATTTTTAGCAACACATATTTTTAAATTAAGATATGTCCATTGTTTCTTTTAGATACAATGCTACTGCACACCTAATAGATGTTAGTATAGTATAACTTTTACATGCACTGTGACTTGCTTTATTGCACTATCTGCCTTAGTGCTGTGGTCTGGAGCTGAGATATCTCAGGTCTGTCTGTAATTGTACTGAACGCTGCTGTGGTAATAAAAATACAAGAAACATGATGTTCTTTTTTTCTTAATAGATTTCTCATTATGAAAGTTTATTAAAACATTTATATGTTATTAATCAAAATAATAAATTACTGAAATTTACATGTTAGAAAAAAATAAAGTTGCACATAATAATTAGAGAAAAATTAAAGTACTGGAAAGCATAGAGAGAAAAAACCCACACACAATCCTACCACTTAAGAAAACTATTAATATTTGAGATCTATCCTTCAAAGCTTTTCTTTTTTTCCATACAGATTGCCTTGGGATATAGTTAGACTGTCGGCTTTTCAAATTTATAATATGTTAAGAAAATTCTCAAAGTCATTAAACTATCTTATATAACACAACTTGAAACGGTTGCCTAGGATGCAATCATACTGTTGCATTGTTATTTACTTAATCAATCAAATCTTCACGGGCCATTCTGTTGTTTCCAATTGTTAGTATTACAAATGAGATTAAGTTTTTGTTGGCTTATTTGTTAAGAGGATTACCTTATGTACAAAATAAAGGAAACATCAACTAAAGAATTCTATTTTATTTTAAGGTGTCAACCAGGGGCTGCAGAGTGAGATTGTATAAAATCAGTGCATTTAAACAAGTCATTCTCCGGTAGCTTCACTATTCCTTTCCATCATCCATCCTTGACCAATCAAGTATACACAAGCATATGCACAATCATGTATTTGAATTAACAGAGGTAAAACTGGAATGTCTTACCCACCTAAGAGAATCAGCTTACATATACTAATACTTCCATGAAAACAACATGTAATGCACAAAGAAAACTGGCTTCAACAAAAGTCAGACATTTTACTCAGGGCTTTTAAGAAAATGTTTCTGAAATATGCCATCTAATTTTAAAAATTCCCCACTTCTACTATTGAATCAACAAAATTAGTAATCAGCAGGAACAAAATGAGGGACAGTTTGGTAGCTGTCAACAACGTTTTCCAGTACAGTAAAACAGAAGAACCGTCCACGCAAGGAAAACACTGTTCTCTTGAAATCTGGGAAATATGCAAATACAGTATTGCTTTAGAGGCTCAGAAAACTGGTTCTTTATTCCACAGAGATTTTTCTGTCACTGTAACAAGCTGAAAACAAAATATGAATGACAAGTGCACATGCTTAGCTGATGGAGAACACAGAGTCCAACAGTAGCCACATGAATCTCTCAGAGAGGTTATGTAACTTCCAGGCAGAGATACTCATTCAGACTCATTCTGCTGCCACCAAGTCTGGCAAGTATTCAAATCCAAGCATGGAAATTTCTCCCCAAGATGGTAACTCCTAGTACTTCCTTTAGCTTCCCTGGCTAATTAGGTAACTCACTTCACTATTCAGTGTAGTTCAAGAAATAAGAATGTTCAATAAATGTACATACAAATATGTCTCGTTAAATACTGAAAGTTATTTGGATACTAAGAATTTAAAGAACAAGGCATCATTATTACTGTAGCTATTCCAGGTTAGACTTTTGGGATTTTTTTTTTTCGTTTTAAATATTACTATAACATCTTAATCATACTAAAAAAAGAAAGCAATTCTAAGGTAGATTTTATTCTTCCAGAGTAGACATCTGTGATTGTTAGAATAGGCAGACTTCAAAATATGTTCTTTATTATTCCTTTCCCACAATCTTGTTCAGTTGTCCCAGAGGTTATGCCTCCAGACAGCTGTGTACCCATTATCGTCAAATTCTGTAATCCCAAGGGCCAGGTGCATTGGCGCACGTCTGCAATCCCAGCACTTTGGGAGGCCGAAGCGGGCAGATTACCTGAGGCCAGGAATACGAGACCAGCCTGGCTGACATGGTGAAACCCCATCTCTACTAAAACTACAAAAATTAGCCTGTTATGTTGATGGTGATGCACGCCAGCTACTTGGGAGTCCAAGGCACAAGAATTGCTTGAAACTCTGAAAAGGCAGAGGCTGCAGAGAGCTGAGATTGTGCCACTGCACTCCAGCCTGGGCAAAAGAGCGAGAGTCTGTCTCAAAAAAATAAAAATAAAAAATTCTGTAATCCTGTCCCATTGGTTCATGACAAGATGCAACTTGATCTACCTGGTAGACATAAAATGCTGTTGCTATGGTTTTAATTTCTAGGGGATAACAGGCCTCCATTGTTTGATTTCTCTTTCTCTTAAACACGGAGAATTTTAGCAGTTCGTGCCATTCCCTTTAGTCCAATCACTATATACTTTGCATTTTTGTTTTTCATTTTGTATGTCAATTTGTCTATTTTCATTTGCAATAGAAATAAAACCAGAATATATCTTAGACGGCTATTCCTTAAGGTTCTCTTTTGAATTTGACCTTCAGATTGGGATGAAGATAAACAAAACTGATATTCATCTGGGATGCAGTGGATTTTTATCTGCAGGTATTTATTTCCCCTTGAAAATATAAAGTACATCTATCTCAATATTCAAGGTTTGACCAGAGAATAATTTGGCTTAAAAATATTTTGGTGCAAACAGGTGCGGTGGCTCACGCCTGTAATCCTAGCAATTTGGGAGGCCAAGGTGGGTGGATCACCTGAGGTCAGGAGTTCAAGACTAGCATGGACAACATGGTGAAACTTTGTCTCTACTAAAATTACAAAAAATAGCCAAGCACAGTGGCAGGCACCTGTAATCTCAGCTACTGAGGAGGCTGAGGCAGAACTGCTTGACCCTGGGAGGTGAAGGCTGCACTGAGCCGAGATCGTACCACTGCACTCCAGCCTGGGTGACAGAGTGAGACCCTGTCTCAAAAAAAAAAAAAATTTTTGGTACTCGTTAAGAAGAAAAGAATAAGATTTTTTTGTTAACTGAGCTTTTCCTTATGCTTAATAAAACCCGGAAGTTAAGACTGTACATGTCTGCCTGGGTCTTTGCAGGGAATTAGATGATAAGACCATCAGAGCTCCTGTGGCTCCGAATACTTGCCCACGAACTGTATCATTCCACATTTTAACTCTGCCAACCTGGTAGATATAAAATGCTATCGCTATGATTTTAATTTCTAGCTCCCTGATTACTATTGAAGTTGACCATTTTTCATGTTTATTAGCAAGTCATGTTTTCTTTTCTTTGAAATGCTTGTCCATACCTTTTATCAATTTCTATTTTATTTATTCTTCTTTATCTGTATTAGATACTAATCGGCTGTCAGCAATGTGTGTGTTGCAGAGCACTTTTCTCAGTTGTAGTTTGTTCTTTTCAATTTATTAATGGTATCCTTTGATTAAGAGAAAGTTCATTTTACTGTAATTGAATTTATCAGTCCTTCCTTTACAATCTATGTTTTCTTGAGTTTGGGGTAAGAAATCCTTCCCTACTCAGAGGTTATAAACATATTCTCCTTTTTGGGTTTTTTTTTTTTTTTTTGGTTCTTTGAAAATTGTACGGTTTTCCTTTCCTTTTAAAACTTTCTCTTGGTGATTTAAAAACACAATTATTTAAAGTACCTGGAAGAGATTTTTTGTCCTTCATGATGTGGTTTCATTTTGTTTCTCTACAGGTATGATCTTGTAACTGCATGGTTTATTGCATGGTTCATTATCTCCCCATTGTTCGGCAATACTCCTTCCACTGTAAGTCACGTGTGCATACATGCAGGGGATTATTTATGGGCTTTTTATCCTGTTCCATTGGCCTCCTTGTCTATAATATACTAGTACCCTAACACCACGCTGTCTTGCTTATTAAAGCTTTATAACAGAACTTGATGTCTCCAAGACAGCCCACCTCTACTACTCTGGTTCTTCCTCAGGAAGGTTTTTGTTATTTTTGACCTTTCACTCTTCCAAATTACTGCACAAGTAGCTTGTCAATCTGAACATTTTTCTTACTGATTGCTTTTAATGTCTCCTCTTTTGTTTTTGGTGTCCACCATGACAGGTCTAACTATATATACGTATTAGTGCTGCTTGGTATACAAAGTGTAAACTATATCAGGTTCCAATCTTTTAGTGTTCTGAAAAGTCTCAGTCTTAAACAAACTGTTTCTCCACTACTGAGAAGTAATTCTCCATGGGGCTCTCAAACTTTTGCATGTTTAGTTCTGAAAAAAACTATTCAAGGATGTTTAGAAGATAGACATAGCGTCTCGCTGGAGCAGAGCGCAGATTTGTTTACTGTCTAGTAAGGTAATAATGTCTACTACAATAAACAATAGTAAAGATAATGTCTCCCTCCAAGGTAAAGCACAAATTTGCTTACTTGGGCTTCCTAAGCTCAGGTGTCTTTGGGCATGACTTAAACTCACTGCATGCCCAGTGTGCACTATGGCCACATTACCCCAGGGAGAATTGGCTTGAACATAAAGTTCATGCTACCTATTGTGTGGTGAGAAATAAAGTTCTTTGTGTCTGACCCAGGGATGCCGTGTGTCTTCGAATAGCATTCATGAAACTGTGGGAAGCTAATTTATGAGCTTAGAAGTGAGGGATTATGTTAACCTATCTTTCCGGGTCCACAAGGGGCGTGTTTTCAAAGACCAGAACTTCCCACTGCCATACCTCTATCTACCTCCCTATGCGGGAGCCTATCGTTCTTTGTCTGACTTTCCGGAGGCAGGAAGGTAGACAGCCCAGGTGAGCTCCCTTTGTTTAAAAAGACCGCCAAAAGCCTTGGAAGGAGGGGCTCTATTGTGAGCCAGGCAGCCAATCCAGCATCAGAGTCGAAGATCAATCACTCCAGAGAAGTTTGGAAAAGCTCCTCTCACTGGACGAGAACTTGAATGGGGAGGGAGTAACTCCGGGGTTAAAATCCCCCCTACTCCCTTACCTATATGCACTCCATCTCTGGATCCCCTCCCACGACAGTGTGGGAACTCGCTTTCTCTCTCTTTCTCTCTCTGCCTAATAAATCGCTCTCTGCAAAACTCTTTGGGTCCAATATTTACTTGAATGAGCCTACCGCACCTCCAGGGCCTCCTCCCCCATTCCTGGGCTAGGGGAGGCCAAAAACCTGGGACACCTGGTTACAGAAGGAAGGTAAAATCTCAAAGCTTTCCCAATTCCTAACTTCCCTCATTTTCAATATTTTAATGTACTGGATCTTGAATCAACGTATGTTAATCTTTTCATTCTGTCATC